GCTTTAGTGTCACTAGAATCTGATTTATGTTTGGACAGTTTTTGTCCTGTTGATCTTTCTGAATTATCTAAAATAATAGCTTCGTGATCATCCAGGAAAAATGTGGAAAACCAATCATTTTCACAAATAAATTATTTTTTACTTTATTTGAAAGTATTTGCAGTGATCCATGCGTAATCTTTTATAAATAGTAGTTTGCTTGAGTGAATACTTATTCTAGTATTAAACTATTGTTTTCTACCCTGAATTTCCTTATTCAGCTTGTGATGCTGGGATGAACGTCTAATTTCCTTCATGGTTAATGGATGATCAAAATAATGACGAAAAACTGATTTTTATGCAGTTTTAGGCAGAAATCTATCCATCATTAACATTTACAGCCTGCCCCTCACAAGATGGCGTCGCGCTCGTACCACAGGACGCAGGCACCATATTCATTGATATTATAGAACTGAATTGGACATTCAGTTTCTTTTCTATTAATCTTACTTTTCTTGGGCTCTATACATTTGATTCATACGGATACACAATGGCGTCGCTCTTTAATACACAGGCGACGTCTGATCCAGTTCAATCGATGGTCATATTTAGCTACATGAAAGCTACAGCTAGCTAACGTCGTCGTAGGGCGAATGAAGAAAAAAACAAACAAACCTGAGCTCATTTCCTCTCCAACGCTCCAGTTCGTATTGGAAATATTTTCTCCACAGGTTCATTTAGTCTGTCTGACTCTACTTTCTACAGCTCGGCGAATATTTAGTTTGGATATGAGCTCCGCTCGACTCAAATACATCCTGCCGCCATCATGAATTTTTTTTCTTCTTCTTGGTTTCGTTTTGGCGGTTGGCAAACAACATGATGTTCATTACCGCYACCTGCTGGTATAAAATGTGTCTTAAAATGTCTGTCATCCTAAGCAAAAGTTCATTCTAAATTTATTTACTAGACCGTAGTAGAGAGAACAAAGACACACATTTATATTTCATTTCAATACATCCAAGGTTTATTTAGTTGCTGGTGGTTTAGTTTCCATCACTAGATGGTGGTAAACAAACAAACAAACAAACAAACAAACAAACAAACAAACAAACAAACAAACACACATACATACATTCATAAATACATATTTTTTCATTGTAAAAGGAGAAAACATAAAAGTGGTCTTGATGCCTGTTTTATACTTTTCTTTTTAGCCAATTGTAAATATTAAACTTCATAAAACACGGCACATATCAAGTTTGATGAGATAAAACCCATAAAACAATATTACATTGGTTAAAAAGAAATACAAGTTTTGTATTTTTTATCAGTTTTTATTTAAAACTGAGTCCAAGTCATGTAAAATCTCTCTGTGGGGAAATTTACCACGTGTTTTTAAAAAGCCCTCAGTGTTATGACAGACAGACCGCTGCCACCGCTGAAATGTAAGGAAACATTTTCTCAGTGAAAGTTTGATTGAAATTAGTTTAYTTGTWTCCAGATTAAGTAATGAAAGCCTCASTCTGKTTCAGTCCAGTTCAACTCTGATCTTCTGGATCTTTTTTCTCTGAAACTTTTTAATAATTTGTGAAGAGACTTCTAAGTACTGACCATTAAAACGTCTCACCTCCCAGGATCCAAATTGTGTTTCTCCTTTTCTCCAAATGATCTCCCACGCCCCACCGACACTCCAGTTTTTTTTTTAGTTTTTAACAGCTGTAAATCCCAGAGTCAGGTGGAGTTCTGGATGAGCCGTATTTGGATCCAGAATTAAAGGAGAGGACAACATGTTCTTCATCCAGCTCCAGATGCTGAAGCTCAAGTTGCCCAGATGTTTGGACWCTTCTATCAGAGTCTCTGAGAACAGCCGTGGACAAAGATTTGCAGCCATGCCTCAGAGACTGCAAGCTGTTATAAAAGCCAGAGGTGGTGCAACAAAATACTAGTGATGTGCTGGAGTGTTCTTTTGTTTCTTTGTTTTTCATGTTTCCATCATTTTTTCCTTCTGCTTGGCCAAAAAAAAAAAAGTAACCGTTACTGACTGCCACATTTTTTTCTTAATTTCTTTTAGTGTTTCTTAAATAAAGTTGCCATTTGAAATGATTTTAGTTTTGTCATATGTCTGTGATCTGTTTTTTTTTTCCTACAAAATTAAACAACTGAATGGACATCCTCTGAGGACGGTGATTCCATAATTTTTTGCCAGAGATTGTATATACATATTTTATTTTGAAGAAAATATGCATTTTGTTTCATATTTACTCTACTAGGAACCAGCTAACATAACTTAGATGAGTAAATTAGAAATTCTACAATGCGTAAACAACTGCTTTCGTGATGAGTTCAAACATTTAATTTTGTAACAAATAGAAGTTCAGTTTTAAAGTAAATAAGTAAAAGTATCATTTTTAGGTTTTAAATGTAACGAAATAAAAGTAAAAGAAACAATTCTAAAAAATAAAATTGCAAATCCTCAAAAATGTACTTCGTGTAAATCTCTGCTTTTTTCCATTGCTTTGGCTATTTCTACATAAAAAAATGCTTATTTGGCAGTTATTGAGTTGTTTTGTCTTTATTTTAAGCTTTAAGTAGGTTTTGTGACTTTGGACATATTTTATTTTGTGGGAAAGGAGGCAAGAACGTCAATTGTAAAGTTTGCAGACTCCTGAAATGGTCAGTACCGAGTTTGAGCAGCAGGGGGCGCTGTTTGCTGAGAAAACTGGACTTGTGCTGTGGGCCAATGGCTGATCTGCGGTCAGTGTGTAACCCTGCCCCGGTCCGCCACCACGCAGCAGACAGACACAAGGGAAAGACGAGAAGGAGAGAGGCAGACCGACTGGGAACAGAACAAAAAAACAAGTCCAGCAATGGGAGACATCCGCAGACAGACGTTGATGCAGACGGACTGACAGCCTACCTGAAGGCTGTTCGGATGTCTGCCGTGTGCGAAACAGACGACAGAAGAAGAAGAAACGGAGGAGAAACATGAGTCGGCAACAGGCTCAGGGAGTGGTTTTAACTAGTTACCACAGCAACGCCGAACTCTTACCGCAGACCGGACTGTGTTCGTCCAGCTGTCCGTCCGGACCGGACCGGGACATCGACGTGCTCAGGTGGGAACCACTTTCAGACTGTACCAACCAGAGGGAGCTTCATGTTTGTTAATGAGCAGAAGGGCAAAGGTTGTTGACAGAGTTCATGTTTTCCTCTTTTTTTTTTTTTTTCCATAAACACGAGTTGGTGACTGCTGACATTACAGAAACAAGATGAATAAAGCAGTTTCGTCAGAGTAGGGAGTCCAGAACCATGCATTATGGGCATTGAGAAAAAATAAAATAAAATAAAATAAATTCTGACTTTAATGTCAGAATTCTAACTTTCTTATAGTCAGAATGTATAATGATATATATGTCATTTCATTTACTTCATTTCCGGTTGAGCTGCATCACCTTGAATTACACCTCCTCAACACTTCTGGAAGGATAAATACAGATTAATTTACTTTTTGTGGCAGATGATTTAAAATCTAAACTTAGTTGTGTCACTTCATGAAAAAACAGACCTTCAGGATCATGGAGGGGAATTATTGCTGATCTAAAAAAACAATACTCTCAAGTCTGAAGCATCACATTGAARAACAGGGTCATTCCCAAAGGACGTCTTGTTACTTTCTGTTTTTATGGTGGTGTTTGAATGCATTTCTTATGCTAAAATCTCATAAGTTTAGTCAGTTTATATCTGCTGACTTTTCCTCTCTGAAMGCTATGAGTACTGTACCACCGTGAAAAATGACCTCTTATTTTCTAAAATTGGTTCGAAGGAGCCACATTATTTGTAAGCTTTTCAAACGATCTTGAATGCTCATTCAAGATTTTTCTTTGGACTTTGACCGCTTTTGTACCTATTCTCTGTCAAGTCGTAAAAATGACAGTAAATCGTGCAGTGTGCCGATTAAGTAAAGAAGGAACGTGAACAAGAAGTGTCAAACCTGAAACACTAAACAAAATCTTTAATCATCTGTAAAAACATGGATAAACATCTTGTAAAAGCCTGAGACCTGCATCATATATATA